AGATGGTGAGTTCTAGTCCTGCCTGAGGCATGAAAGTCAGCTGGGTGACTTTGTGCTGTGGTCCTGTGGACAATGTGGTTCCGTCTGCAGGTCTGTTCAGAAGAAACCATGTGGGAGATCTTGAGGCGCTATTTGCCCTACAACGCGCATGCCGCCAGTTACACATGGAAATACCACGGCGTCTGCCTGGACATGGATAAGAACCTTCAGGACAACAACATTCCCGATGAAGACGAGGAGTTCTACCAGCTCAACATGGACGCCGACGCCTTCACGACCGCCATTTTGCTCTACTTCAACGATGACCTCACCGAGCTCTAGAGACCCGCCTAGTCGTGGGCCTATTTCCCTCCAGCTGGAAGTCCCGGGTGCCCCTTCTTCTCAACAGCAGCTGCAGGATACCCAATTTATCTCCAAGAGCAAGCGCTTGGTGGAAAGGAAGATGCACCCCCCAAACGAGGATGGGTCCCTAAAATACGATCTCCTGGTCTTGTGAACGTCCACCTGAATTTTACAGGCTCTTTCTGCTACTGTTTGCTGCTGCAGCCACTAGATGTCAGTCGTGCCTCATAGTGCAGCCATTTTGAAGCTCCGTTGTTCTTCACATGGTTTTAAAAAATAATTGCATTTTATTATCCTGCAAGCCTTGAGCTGGGAAAGCAGCTTTGCTCCCAAGCTGGCCCTTTTATCTGGAGGAGCCCACACAATTTTATATTTTAACTTTAAAGTGCTGTCCTCTGGCCTGAACGTACTGCTTAACCCTGAAGGAAATTTAAGTAATCTTGCAGCAATTATTTGCGCCTGCTTGAGCTATTTCAAAGGCTTGTTTGGAGGAGTGGTTGGAGGTGGAGGAATAAGAATCCCCTTGGAGGATAAGTGGGATAAAAATAAAATAGCAAAACATAAGATGTTTACGGTGAAAAGACATCGTTGTCCAGATTGACTTTTTTTTTTAAAAAAAAAAAAAATCATCTTGATGCATGCCTTGAAAAGAGCAAATCTTCAATAAAGACTGTCTTTTTGTCACATTGACTTCTGATGTTAAGGGAAAAAAATATGTGGCTATCAGTATCAAATGTCTTCTGAGTGCTTATTCTCACACCTAAGCCTGCAGTAATCTGTTTAATGAGGGTGATTTTTGTAGGAACTCTGTTCAGGATTCATTACAGCCAAAGCTGTTTTCATAAACTGGTTATTTCCAAAGAAAATACGTTAACGGCAAAGTTGTGTCCAAGTCAAACTTGATCCTTGGTGTATTTGGGAACATGGACACAGAGAGAGGTCTTTTGCACTGGAGAGATTTGTCATAGTTTTCTTCTGGAATGTCTGTGTATTTCCTGGTGGTCTTCTATCCCATATTAACTAGAACTTAGTTTGTTTAGTATTTTGGAAATCAGACAAAATCACTTAGATGATGCTGTATACCTGAGTACAATTTTTTTTAAAATGTATTTTTTTAAAATATTTACATAGCTTTCAGCCAACTCTGGGCAGCTTCCAATCAAAACTTGAAAGGCATGAAGAAATTGTTTTAAAAACCATAAAATGCAACCAGTTGAAAGTTAAAACAAAAAACCTGGTGGTTTCAGGTGCATTTGTGGAAAAGCTAGGTGTTTCCCATGTCCATTTCCTCCGAAGGTAGGGGTACGGAAACCAGTGATTGTTACTTTTGTCGCTCGTAAATCATCCATTTCTGCCATCAAGCATTATAGATTGTGGTGTTTTTATGATCAGTTCCAAAGATTCACAGCTCCAGTATGTTAGATATCATTTCAAAGCTTTATTTTAAAAAGCCCAAAGTATTTCCT